ATATGAGATGTGCTCTACTTTGTGCCTCTGACATTGACCTAGATTTCTCAGTCAGATCACGCTATGGGGGAAACACGAATACAAAAATCACCATTAGAAGTACATTTAATATTTACAGGTCCTGATGTTCTTTCTGCCCTTCAGAGAGAAAAACGAGTCCAAACAAAGGTCAACAGCCGTGCAGGCACTCACAGGCATGCACAACACAAATAGTGACAACGCTGGAGACACAGCGGAGCCAGTGAACTCGCTGCTGAGAAACCTGTAACTGTTTTGAAAATGTCAGTATTTCCAGGACAGTCGACCAATTAGGCTCTGCATTGTGGCCTCTGATATAATCGCAGACACGGGTCTCGTGACGCTGCCTTTGGAGCAGTTGTTTGGGAATATAGTGGCATTGAACAGATGATAATAAACATCCATTATGCAGCATAATACTCTGTAAAATTTCCCGCAGATCAGTCCAGCTTTGTCACAGAAAAGTCACAACATGGCACGCTGCTGCCGCTGATGCAGATTAAAGCCCTCCCTAATGGAGCAGCAGCGTGGCATGGGGCCGTGCCAGAGAGCAGGGCAGGACAACGCAGCGAGGGTTACAGGAGCTCAACACAAGCAGCTGCCTGGAAACTGAACTGGAATTCCTGGGTCCCCAACACTCCAGGTGCAGATCTGTGTGAGGAAAGCTCGGCACGCCGACGGCCCAGAGCCGCTGTGACAGCACAGACGCTGAAACTGAACCTTACACTAGATGATAAACAGGAGATCTCACACAAATGTGACCCCATTAGCTCCGAACGCACAATCCAGGTCCAACATGAACCTGCAGCACACACACAAATGCTGTTCTTTATTTACAATACAGCCCAAAGTGCAGGCAGACATGAGGACGTTCAGTCAGGCAAGAAGCAGGCAGTATCTGGAAATCAAGATGACAAAGTATTACACAATGTTTACTCCACAAACCCTGAGAACTGGAGGAGTCAGCTTCTTCTTATGAGCAATGGGGCTTTACATGTTCATGACACAAGCAGCCAAAGTTCTGGTAATACCACGAGAGACTTCCTGAAATTGGGTTTTTGCGTTCATTTGCTGTGATCTCAGCCCCACTGAAATTTTCTTTCTGTTGTACTTAAAGTTATTTAAATAAGTCTGTGCAGCTTGCACAGCTTCCAAACTTCCCAACGAACCATCTGTAAGCTTGGAAGCTCAGCTCGTTTATTAATGAGACAATACGCTCACACAGCTTAAACAGAAGTATCTGCAACATTCTCCGAGAGGTCGGAGTGTCTGGAAATCATTATTCATTTTTATTCCAACAGAGAAGCTAAGATAAAAGTAAACGGTGCAGATAATAAGCTCCGATAGAGGACTTTATTCAGTAGTTTCTGCTCCTTCAAAAAGGTCAGCGCTGCAAGAGCTCGGTGTGACTCACACACAGTGCACTGACCAGGTGAAGCGGACCAGCCTTTACAGACCATTTCAAATTTCATCACAAGAAAAATGGCTGTTACAACCGAACTAAACAACACAGAGCACTGGCATCCTATTATCTTACTTTCTTTCATTGATTGTACTTATTGTATTTTTGTATTTCCTTCTGATATCTGTACCTGAGCTGAGCTGACGCAAAAATTTCCCCGTTGTGGGATCAATAAAGTCTTATCTTATCTCTTATCTAACTTTATCCACTCTAATGTTTACTGTGTTTAGTTGTGCTTAGTGCCAACGTGACTGTGCAAGGACAATAAAAAGTTATCTTATGATGGAGCAGATTTAAGATTTTCTACTTTTTGCATTTATTGTGATCAACTACTGTTACTTTGTCATCAGGGTTAAACCGCAGCGCGAGCACTCAATCAGTATTGAAATAAGCGCTTCTGGGCATTAAATAAAAGCGCACAGGAGAACGGCAGCACTTTCATATACCGTCCTGCAGGCTGCTCTGAGTTAGCTGCTTTAGTGTTGTCTGCCTCCCTTTATAATAAGAGAATGGGGAAAGCAGCTGCAGCGGACTTGATGAAGCGGTGAGAAATAAAAACGTATGGCATTATTACTCTGGCTCCTCTGGGAAACTGAGGAAGTGAAGTTTGAGCTGCGAAGTCAAATGGGTGGAAAGTTCTCAGAGTTGCACGGCACTGAGAATAGTTCTTTGTTAGGACAGTAAACTCAAGATGAAGTGTGAAAGAAAAAACCTCCCCACCTAAAGCAAAACTGGGAGAAAAATCACAATAATGGGCTTCCAATTTGTCACCATGCTGATGAGGCCGTGACGTGGATGTGGAACTTTTAATGCTTCAAGCGTTCAGATCCCCACCCTGCACGAGAGGCTGCTGAAGGCAGCGGAGCATGCAGGCCTCCCTCTATCACAGCTGATGCATGGTTAACACAAGCACACGCCACACTACACCGGGTTACACAGGCAGGGAAGTGTAAACACCATTCATTACCATGGCGCTGGCTGGGGGACTTTGAACTGCCATCCATTCTGCATTAGGCCACAGCATCCCGCCCCACAGTGTTCATGAAGAGGCTTTTGGCACATGTTACAAAACTGTGGCAACTTGATGCAAGCTGCCCAACAGGCTCACGCTGAGCAGAGCTACTCCAATGGCCGACACGCAGCCCTCTTCCAGCTGAGCTAAACGGTTGTTACTTTTCTTTCCAGGAGTCTTTCTTGCAGCTCTGAAGGCTTACCACACACTACCTCTCACACTCAGCTTACATCACTGTTTGTTTGATCAGTGCGGGTAATAAAGTTCCCATCTGGTTTCCCAACTGAGAATCTGGCCAAAAGAGGTGGGACATATTTGTGGCAACCCACAAAGGGAAAGATACCAACTTTTTTTTTCCTTCTTCTTCTTTTAAAAGGTCTTATCTGATCCTCTTGGGACACCAAGTTCACCAGTGGAATTAGGAGTTGGGAAAAAAAAGAAAAGACGGGAATTAAAAACAACTTTGCATCAAAGGCAGTGAAGCAACAGTTGCTCATTGTTTGGACTTGACTGTTCCATTAACACTCATTTCCAGCTTCTGCGGCACTGAACACTATATTTACAGATGTGCTAAGGGAAGCAGCACCCCAAGCAGCTTTCCCCCTAAAGCAACTGTTTTTTCCTTCCTATGAGGTATTTCGCTTCTTCTACGAGTTCCAGGCTGGTTCCCAACCCACAGCAGACTCCGGCACAAAACAAACACTTTGTCCAGGAGGAACTTTGGGATGTTCCTCAGAGACGACTTTTATCCATGCTGAGCAGAAATGTTTTCCAGTCAGCAACATTATGATCTCTTGAAACCGGGGGCGCACTGAGGGCTAAGCCCACCTTCACCCACTTTATCCAGGATTTAATCTCGCATTGATCCGTCTCTGTATACCTTTAATCCAGGTATTTCCACAGATCATAGAGTGGGGCAATGCAAGGATATTTTAATGGAAAAAAACTTTAAATGATTCCAGAGTTTCATCGTCCTCTGCATGGGTCATTAAATCTGCCATTTCACACACAGAGCTGAGCGTTTGGTGACAGCAGCACCTGAAAACGCTCGTTTGGCGCTTGCTGTCCTCTGGTTCAGGGTCTGCAGTGGGTTTCTGGCTCCGCTCAGCCACAAAGACGGTTCTTGCCCGCAGATGTAGGCAATTAGCGACAACGGTTTTCAGGAATACTGCTGAATGAGCCGCGGTTTGCAGCAAGAAAGAGACATTAAACGAAATCCCTCCTGCGCTTTCTCCCCAAGTCATAGAAAAGTAAGAAACACACAGAGAGAAAGAGAGAAACAGACAAAAAATAAAAACGTATATATTTATCCCCCAACCCCCTCCTGTACGGAGAGGGGAGGAATGAATGAGTTGGGAAGCAGGCGATCTAAAGAAATGGAAAGTTAACTTTTGAAGAGTTTCCGAAAATGTAACAGCGATAAACCAGAGCCAACGGAGAAGAAAAAAGCTTTACACTTCCAGAACAACTTACCGCTTTAGCTCTGTGGAAGTTGCTCCCTCTTGTCCTAAATCCACTCCACGGACAAGAAAAAAAAAGATCCCGGGATGATTCTCCAAGTCAGGAGAGGCTCCTGAAGCCCTTCCTGCTGTCTTTGGGTTAACTAGTGTCTGCCTGTGTTGGATGAGGCTGGAAGAGGCTCTCATCCGAATCTCAGCACTTTGAATGGAGCTCTGATGGACTTGAGAGCGCAGAAACTGCCGGGCGTAGGGAGTGGCTGGAGAGGCGGCTCTGGGCTAGTCAGCTCGTCCAGTGAGTCCCCTAATCACCTCCAGCGCTGGGGAGGTGGTGCCTTCAGGTGTCGTCGGAAACAATGCCACTTCATCTTTTGTCCCCACACATAATAGTTTAACGAAACATCCAAGTCAGAAAGCAAACAGCGAGCTGCTTCCTCCTCATATTTACTAACTAAACATTCAGGCAACGTGAGCTGTTTTAACTGCTCCATGGCTCCTGTGCGGAGGAAAGAGGCGGTTTGCTGCAGAGACATTGAGCCTTGGAAGAATTTTAAAAAAGTAAACTGGACTTTGATTGTTTAAAAGTGAACTTTCATTATGCGGTATTATGATCTGTTAAATTATTCTCACATAAGTAACTGTAAAAAGGCGAACTGGTTAGGTTATAGTTGGCCAAACTTGTTTGAAGAAGTTCCCACACGACTTTAGTGAATAAAACCAAGATTTACGAGGTGAGTGTGAAGCAACATTAAAGTTTTCCTTCATCGTTATATATAGACAGACACTCCATCCACCCGACAGCACAATACCCCCCTCCTGTGTCTTAATACTACATAGCAACGACGATTTGACGAGCTTTTAATGAAACTCTGGGCCAAGTTTAATAGTTAAAGTCGCTCTCTGTGCACAGGAAACTCATATTTGTGATTTTGTTGGGGGGTGTTTGTCTCTTCTTGTACTGATTTACAGATTCGGACTTTACGGTATTTGGGGTTTAAACCAGATTTTCTTTTAAATATCACTCACTCCTGCGTTGCATCCAGAGAAGACCTGCAGTATCACTGCATGTTATTTATTTGGTTTTAACCGCTTAAATTTCGCTCTTCAGTCAAGTGTGGCGACCCAAATAGACTGCGTTAGTGCGCACGCGCGGTTACGTCTACAGCTTCCTCTTCCCTAGAACTGGTTGTACTGGAGTCCAGTTATACTAGTTTCTTTGTCACGGACTGTTTTTGTTCTTAAAGAGGATTTCGGTGAGTTTCTGACTAATTTTTTCTCTTTGTGGAGCCGAGCGCTGCTCGCACTAGTTCAGTTTACTGCGACACTGCGGATGGAAATTCCAGGAAAATGGATTATAGTTAGCAGCAAGCTAGCACTGCCCCAGTGTTATTGTGTTATCTGAAGTCAGATATCCAGAGTTGGCTCGCTCGGCTTTGATAAATATAGACTGTCACAGCTGGCCTTTTTTGGTGTGATATTTATAATGTGTACAGAGTAAAGTGCTGTTTTTATAGATTCGTATCATGACAATGAACGAAGGTAGACAAATGTCCTCGTATGGTGCTGTGCATGCACTGCTGCTCGTACATTTAGCACGCGTGGTGACGTGGACGATGCTAATAACTGTGGTTACCGCTAACATTTATGGTAAATAGCATTGTTGTTTATACCTGTATGAGTATATGTGTGTGTATACATCCCCAGGGGTGAAGGCTCATACCAGCTTCTGCCCTTCCCTCCCAAACAAATAATGGGGGTGGCTAACATCTGGCTTGTTTCACGTTGCGCTCCCACATGCACACAACATTTGTATGATTCATGCAGATTTGATTATGCATGGGTGGAACTGTGCGGACGGATCCCATTGTTGTTTCCTCACCCTGAGCTGATTTATGTTTTTCTTGCAGAGTGTTTTTATGAGTAATCAAAGGCAGCAGAAGCCTACGCTAACAGGCCAGCGTTTCAAAACTCGGAAAAGAGGTGAGAAACCGCCGAGCATCACTTTGTTTTGGTCACATTAAACACAGGTGGTTTCATCAGGATATACAGATCACGCCCGCCTGTCCTCCCTGTAGCTTTTCATGCTACCAGCAATGGAAAAGCACAGATTGTGAAATCCTGGATTGACGCCAACCTTGATGCCATAATTAAAACAAAAAAATCTTGCAGATAACCAATGCCAATTTTCAGTTCTGATTCAATTCTATTCTATTTTATTTATATAGCACCAAATCTCAACCACTTAGTCTTTGACTTACAACTATTGTCAAATACCCTACAATAATGCAGGCCGGCAGTACCAAAATTTGCCTGTTTTTAATCTTTTACATTCTCTGCCAACGTTTTGTAACTGGGAACAAATACTTAATATGAAAAAAATATATGTAGTATTTAAAAGACTTTTGGCTCTTCATCATGCCAAAAATCTTAACTATCTGAGTCCCCCTTTTTTCTTTTTTTTAAACGAAATCTAAGTTCAGCTTCACTAGCCACACCCACACATCATTTCAATCCATGAAATGAGTTCTGCTGAACCAAGAAATCATTTCATGGATTGCATTTATATAGTTTTAAATAACTTTTCATTTCGAGACCCTCAAAGCGCTTTACAATGCCACTATTCATTCACTCTCACATTCACACACTGGTGGAGGCAGCTACAGTTGTAGCCACAGCTGCCCTGGGCAATCAGTCCCTCTGGCCGTCACCAGTAGGCGGTAGGTGAAGTGTCTTGCCCAAGGACCGAGACTGTCCGAGCCGGGGCTCGAACCGGCAACCTTCCGATTACAAGACAAACTCCCAACTCTTGAGCCACGATCGCCCACCACTCATTTAAATAGAAGCTGTCTGGTAAGTGAAGCAGGTTTAAATAAAAGAACAGCACATCATGCCATGAGCTAAAGAAACAGCTGAAAAACAAAACATCTATCAGGCTGGAAAAGGTTACAGAGACGTTTGTAAGGCTCTGGGACTCAAGTGAATCACAGTGAGAGCCGTCAGCGACGTGAAGAAAACCTGGAACCCGTGGTGAACCGTCACAGGAGCAACCGGCCTACCAAAACGGCTCCAAGAGCACATGAGCGATTTATCCAGGAGGTCACAGACAAACCCAGAGCAACATCTAAAGAACTGCAGGCCTCACTTGGCTCAGTTACATCTGATGTAAAACTGAAGCTGTTTTTATGGCTGAGCAGACGGTGCGTTCGCTGTCTGCTCTGATCTGAGGACTGCCCAGATGCCTGCAGAGAGCTCTCTTGTGAGACTGAGGTAGTTTACAAAGTACGTGGTAAAACCAGTCTGTGTGCTGTTGTTGATCCATCAGGCAGCTGCAGATAAGAGCGAAGTTCTAACAAACAAAGAGTTGAAGTGAAACAGCGTTAAAAACAATGAAAAGGTCACTGCAGCCACCATCTCTGCTTTTCATGCTTTATTTTTTGGCCTTTGAAGTTTTTTCATGGCCCTCCCGTTTTGGGTGAACTCTGGTTTTGCTCCTTGCTCTGTTCCATCACACTTACGTCACTTAGTTGCTTACGTCATCCAGTCCTCCAGGATCTTGGGTGACCGCACAGACGCACATCTGGGGTGGGTGAAAACCCCTCTCCCCCTCTGTCCTCTCAGAATCATGTACGCGGGTGGAGACATAAAACCGGCCTAACACAGCATTTCATGAAAACAACGTCATGCCAACAGTCAGGCATGGTGGTGGGAGTGTGATGGCATGGGGCTGCTTTGCTACTTCAGGACCTGCTCAACTGATGGAACCACGACTTCTGCTCTCTACCAGAAAGTCCTGAACGATTACATTCAGCCACTACTTCATGCCCTCAAGCACATTTGTGTTATACACCAGGACAATGATTGAAAACGCACCAACAAGTCCAAATGACTCGAAAAAAGTTTTTTTACAGCCTCCAGCTAGAGAGAGAAATATTTTTTTTAAATGTCTGTCTGTTATTTATTGACTCCAAATTTCTGGTGGATTAAAGTTAACTTACTTTTTAAAGTAAGTTATCTCCATAGTGGGAGTTAAATTATGGAACAGTCTAACACATAGGTGTCAAACTCTGGCCCACGAAGCCATACCAAATTATTATTAGAGCTGGCCTACTGGTATTATGCAGCTAATATATATATTGTTTAGTATTAAGCTTTGCTTGTTCCATATTCAGTTTTTCAGCAAAACTTGTTTGAGTCCATAAGAAAAGATTCATTCTTAAATCTGGAGGGATTTTTTTTTTTTTTTCCAATAAATATTAACGTCAGCCCGCGACCTTGTTCCAGTTTTGAATTTTGGCCCACTGTGTATTTGAGTTGGACACCCCTGGTCTAACATAAGAAATAAAAGAAAGCAACAACATATACCAGTTTAAAATAAAATATAAAAAACAAATTTAAGAATGAAGAAAATGGGGTCAACCCAGGACAGTAATTGGGATGTTTTGGTTTATTTGTTTCAGTATTTGTGAATCTGCTCATTTACATATTCTGTCTTTTATTATATGAAAGTAACTATATTGTGATGATTTTTGTTTTGTTTTGCTTTTGTTTCATTGTTTGTTTGTTTAAGACTAAAAGAAAACTAAATGAATGAGATGTAAAATTTGTGGGGGTAGAGCCAAACAAGTGTATACTTCTGCCTACTCCCTTTCAAACAAAATAATGGAATGATATCACGAAATGATGCTGAATGTATACATTTGAAATAAAAAATGAACTGAACTAATTTGTCTTTTTGTTCTTTTTGCACAGATGAAAAGGAGAGGTTTGACCCTTCCCAGTTTCAGGAGAGCATTGTGCAGGGTCTGAACCAAACTGGCACTGATTTGGAAGCTGTCGCAAAGTTCCTTGATGCCTCTGGTGCAAAGCTTGACTACCGACGCTATGCCGAGACTTTGTTCGACATCCTGGTGGCTGGTGGAATGCTGGGTGAGTTGCAGGCATTTCTTTTAAACTTTGCATTATACCATGGTAATAAAATGTGTCCCCCAGTCGAGCGCTCTCTGGGTCTTCAGGTTAATACTGGCGTGCACAAGTGTCCCCCCTGTTTTTGAATTGATGTCGATACAGTGATCAGCAGAGGTGAAACATGTGATGCGCCTAAGACATGAATATGTGTTTAATTTCAGCCCCCGGGGGTACGCTGTCAGATGACATGACCTGTACAGAGTTCTGTCTCTTCAAAGCACAAGAGGACATGGAGACCATGCAGGCATATGCACAGGTGAATACCACTGTGTTCAGTTCACGTTTTAATATCCATTTGTTTTTATGGATAATAAAGCAATTTTTCCCCTTTAGGTCTTTAACAAGCTCATTAGGCGCTACAAATACTTGGAGAAGGGATTTGAAGAGGAGATCAAAAAGGTTTGTTTCTCTGCATAGCCGGGTCACGTAGGTAGCCTGACCTGCCTGACCGGGTCATGGTCTTGAGCAGTTTGTTTCAGTTTAAAATATAAAGAGTACAGCTTTGCCTCTGCTGTGGTTCAGCCTGTATGTTTACTGTTTTACAGCTGCTGCTGTTTCTCAAGGGTTTCACAGAGTCTGAGCGCAACAAGCTGGCCATGCTAACAGGGATTCTGCTGGCCAACGGGAACATCTCTGCATCCATTCTCAGCAGCCTCTTCAATGAGAATTTGGTCAAAGAAGGTACTCTGCTTTAATACTCGGTCTGTGTGCAGAATTATGTTCACGGTTTCTCTTCCCGAGCCACCATTTATCAGACATTTTAAGGACCTGTACACACACAGCACACTGTTTGCTTTATCTGGACAGCCTGAATGCTTTGCAGGTATTAATGTAGAAGTAGCAGAGGGACGGGCAGTCATGCAAACGAGTGTTGACAGTATGTAGGCTTTCATTTTAGTCAGAGACTATGGAAAAGCCTTTGATGCCTGCAGACGTGTCTGTTTTCAGCTGCTGGGATTAATCAGGGGAAAAAATGCTGCAGAAATCTCACGTTTTGCTCATTCAGCAGGGCCGAAACTCAATGAGTGGAACTAAATTATTAAACTTTCAATATTAAACATTGTCACTGCAATGTTATCCTCCCATTTGAGTTGTGGAAGTTGTTCTTTCTCTCGTCATTTACTTGTCATCAGTCACATTTGAATCCATTTTCTCCCTTTTTTTCCCTGAAAGAAAGTCAGCGATGGGAAGTCGTATCCTTTATGATTCCAAAGACGAGTCTTTAAAATAACTGAACGCACAAAGAAAACATTTGGGGAATCTCCATTAAAGCAGCTGGTGTCAAACGTCTGCTTCAGGACTGTCTGCTCCACTCTTTGTTTACAAATATAGTTAAATTATAAAATATATTCTAAAAAAGCTGTCCACCCCTGAGTAACCAAAGTCAATGTAATTGGTCACACAGTGGACTTGCTCTGCTACACACAGAGATGCCTAACGTCTGTCCCTCTGACACAGAGTTTGCATATTTGTGCATGCTGATAGCAGCTGCATGGCCAGGCTACAGAGAACCTGAGGTCTTACAGTACTGCACGAGTCTGTGAAAGTCTAGAAAGATGCGCCTGCGTTACGTTACTACATTTTACACGTGCATGAAGGGAATGCTTAATATTTTCCATTCGCAGCCCCCCTAATGAAAAGGCAATTTTAAAAAAAGCTTCAGAGTAATGGAGTAATGCTAATTTCTGTGCAAATAAGTGCTCTTGTTACATGCTAGTATTATTAATGTGTGATGCAGTAAAAGGTGCAGATGGTGCTGTGAAGTTTTGCTTTGAGTGGGCGTTGTCAGCCGGTTGTCTGTGTTGTACCAGAAGAAGAGATTAACCACAAACACAACAGCTAATAGATGTGATGAGTTAATCCATCAGCATCCACTGCTGCGCTCTTTGAAAGGACCCGACGGATGCTGATGGTTTTACCTTTTTGATCATCATACACTTTTATTTAGCTTGTAGATGCAGATGTTTATTTGATTTACCCGTTGGTCCACACTTGAATGTTTTCTTGTTTGTGGCATTTTTCCAGTTAAGAGCCTCGGTGTTGTGTTTACCGGCGTATTACTTTGACTTTCTTTATCCTGGCAGGTCTGTCAGTAACAGCTGACTCACATTTTTGTGCATTTGTTCAGGTGTTTCGCCTTGCTTTGCTGTAAAACTCTTCAAATCCTGGCTTTCTGAAAAGGACATCAACTCAGTTGCTGCCAGTCTTCGAAAGGTTGGCATGGACAACAGGCTTATGGTGAGAACGACATCTTCGCTACAACATCTCTACGAGGCTTAGGCGAAGCGGCGTTTCCCCATGCCGCTCAGCGGCCTGTCTGCGTATTCTAAATATGACTGCTTAATTACGGCTCTGCATAAATTGAATAGTTTCAAACTATTGTGGCAGTCACAGCAGCTACTGCACCAAAGGCCTCCTAATTGCTGATGAAGGCTTGTTCGGTCTGCTTCAATGTTTGATTATGTAAATTTGCAGGAACTTTTCCCGGCCAACAAGCGGAGTTGCGAGCACTTCTCAAAGTACTTCACAGACGCCGGGCTCAAGGAGATTTCCGACTTTGCCAGGAACCAGCAGTCCATAGGTGCTCGCAAAGAGCTGCAGAAAGAGCTTGAGGATCTGATGTCATGTGGAGAGCCCCTCAAAGACGTAAGTGTTCGTGGTTTTCCATCTTCTTTTACACAGACTCGCTCCTCGCAGCACACCGCTGTGTAGTAGCACTTAAGATTGCTTTCTGCTTGACCTGTCACCCTTTTGTTTTGAGGAATGGTGAGGAAACGGATGCAGTGGATCAATGGCAAATTCCTGAAATCCACTCAGCCTGAACATATTATCTGCTCCTGCCAACCTCTGTACCCTGCTTGTAGGTAATGTCTGCCGTGGTTGGTCTGCGTTGATAGTAACGTTTGTTCCGTCTCTCGGCTTGGATCTTATAGATCATTGCTTACGTCCGAGAGGAAATCAAGAAGAACAACATCTCTGAGCAGACGATGATCGGACTAATTTGGTCCAGCGTGATGAGCTCGGTGGAGTGGAACAAGAAGGAGGAGCTCGTGACGGAACAAGCCATCAAACACTTAAAGGTGACACCTGCGTCGCTCTGCTCTTCCTGTTCTTCTTCTCTCCCACGGCAGTTATGACACGATCCGAGAGATCTAAAGAAACGTACGGGTGTCGCTCTTAAATCGTGCCTCGGAGATGTTAGAAAATCCGCGCTGCTGTAGGCTTTGAACTCTGCAGAGAAGATAATTGATTTAGTAAGGCAAAGTGGAAGTAATGGGAGAAATCAGAAGCATCTCCCCCTCCCACTCTGTGTGTGAAACTTTCACAGTGGTAAAACTCTTACTCCAGCTTTTCCCTGGTTTCCATCCTCAGCAATACAGCCCGCTGTTGAAGGCTTTCACCTCCCAGGGCCTCTCAGAGCTCACGCTGCTGCTGAAGATCCAGGAGTACTGCTATGACAACATCCACTTCATGAAGGCCTTTCAGAAGATCGTCGTACTGCTCTACAAAGGTGAGTTAATTATGCCCATAAGGCTCCTGTTCCCACCAGTAAAGACGTTTACTTTGCGGCAGGAAGCGACGCAGGCTTGTGCGACTGATGCCAGATGGCCAGAGATTATAGCCAAAACTTTGCCTTGATTGATGTCATCAACCTGCCTGGTGACATTTGTTTTCCCGGCACCTGCGGACGCATCTGTGCTGTTGGCGTCGAGTTGAAATGATTTCTTTTTCTGTTTTATGTTCTCGTTTTTATCTTTGTGTGTTTTTCTCCCAGCCGATGTCTTGAGCGAGGAGGCGATTCTGAAGTGGTACAATGAAGCCCACCAAGCTAAAGGAAAAAGCGTTTTCCTTGAGCAGATGAAAAAGTTTGTTGAATGGCTCAAGAACGCAGAGGAAGGTAAGCACCTCGTTTCTGTCTGCCACTGATGGGAGACGCCCCAAAACGCGCCTCGTGTTTATGGTCTCCAAATGTTAGTAACTAAATGCACGTCGAGTTTACGCGTCTGGTGACGGATGTTTCCTTTCCTTCAGAGTCCGAGTCGGAGGAGGAGGATGCAGACTGAAGACCTCTGCCTATAAAACCATCGAAATTTGTATTTTTAATCAGATGCAGTACAAGAATTTATAACAGACGCCTGTTCTCTAGTTCTTTTCTTTCTCTATTCTCTACCTCTTCATATCTAGTTCGACTGCAATGTAAGGGCTTTAATGGGGTTGTTTTTTTGTTTTTTGTTTGATGCTCGTATTCATCTTCAAACTCCTTCAGGAGCCAATCAGAGTGCCACATTTAGCTGATAGACTGAAACCTCTGTCATGTGACAAAGCAGAGCGTTTTGGTTTTTTTAAACATGAGACCCTTTAAAATTCGACCATGTGAAGGCGTGTTTCAGTCTTTGTGTTTGATCGCTCTTATTCGGTCCTCTGAAGTGAAAACTGTTGATTTGCGTCTCAGATATGTGACAACTTTGAATTTGTTGCCAGTTTTTAAGATTCTTTATCCATTATTGTTAATGGAGCCGCGTCATCATAAACAGAACTTTGATTTTTCCATACATCATGTGTAACAACCACGCTAGCTTTGTAGGGTTTTTCCCCTTTATCGCACATTTTCAAATAAATGGTTTTCATTACTGCCGTATCCGTTCATGTGGAGTTGAAGGTGAATTAAAGGAGCAATTAGAAGATGTGTACGTACACAGATAAACATGGAAAAGTAGAAACTGAGCTCTTGTGTTTGAGATCGCACTAAAGTTTTCACTGATCTCGGCTGGCCTTATCTAATCATGCAATCAAGAACGGCTGGCTGCCATGCGTGACCCGAGCTGCAAACAAAGATCTCTCTTCACTCCTGTCCCACTTTAAATGGTAATTATGGTTCAGTCAAGCATGTAGGAATGAAAGTGAGATGGTGATTCAAGATGTTATGAAAATGGTCCACATTCATTATAAGAGTCATCTCACAAAGTCTAGAAAGCAGACCGCTTATTGTAATGTTAGCACAAGACGAGGAGAGGTCAGGATGCGTTTGTGTCCAGCTCTTTGTGTTCGATCGTTAGTTATTTTAGCTCTATACATGTGGATTTGTTGGAAGCAGAGTGATCGTGTCATCACATCACAAACAAGCACTCTGGCTCTCACAGCTGAGTTACAAAAAAGCTGCATAGGATGAACTAGTAATGTTTGCTGTTTTATTCAAATGCGTGTAGTACAGAGAATTACAGTACATACTGTAAGTACAGCAGAGCAGCCTGTGTACAATCGACCAATAATCAGTTTCCCTCTGTGCCAACAGATGGCAGTAAATCCTTAAGAGACATTATCGCCCCTGTTTAAGCCTCCCAGAGTTTTGGAGTGAAGCTCAAATAGAAATGCCATTTTGAAGAAACCAGACTAGAAAGTATTAGACACAGCTCCACTCCAAAGTATTTTCTCTGCCTGCGTGTCCCAGGAGGATTTGTTTGCCTTTTAGTTTTATTTAGTCACTGTAAAGAACATGAGACGGTTTGGGAGAGTGACGTGCTGCGGGGGGGAGACGCGACTGCTTTTCAGATTTGCACATCTGCACGTGTGCAGCACTGAATGGCAATGATGCCTCCCAACTCCACCTCTAACTGTGCAGTACTGTTATCTGCTCGCTACCAGTTCTGCATGTCTTCACTCGCTCATTTTTTTTTATATATATATATATATATATATATATATATATATATATATATATATATATATATACATACATGCATGCATGCATGCATGCATGCATGCATACATACATACATACATACATACATACATACATGCATGCATGCATGGAGACGAGGAACCATCATGGAAGGACAGGCCCCTGCACGGTATGTACCACCGGCAGATAGAGGAGGTGGCTGATATCCAGAAATCCTACCAGTGGCTGGACAAAGCTGGACTGAAAGACAGCACAGAGGCACTAATCATGGCAGCACAAGAACAAGCTCTGAGCACAAGATCCATAGAGGCTGGGGTCTATCACACCAGGCAAGACCCCAGGTGCAGGCTGTGTAAAGATGCCCCAGAGACAATCCAGCACATAACAGCAGGGTGCAAGATGCTAG